GTTTACCTCCACCTGTTGTTTCTTCTTTCGCTACAAACGACTGTATCACTCGTGAGCATCAAGGTGACTCAAATATCATACGTCAGCCTCTCCATCACTATTGCAAACAAGACCGGGCTTAAAGCCGAACCTTGATGTAATTCAACCTCTGCCTTGAAACCCTCTGTCACTCCTACTGCATACCGCAGTACTGTCTCAATCCACTACTCTTATGTACTTGTTTGTTACTCCAAACTTCCTCATACAATACCATGACTTTTCTCTTGACACTCTGCCATAAGCTTTTTCAAATCTACAAACAGACAGTGCATTTCTTTCTTTCCCTCTCTATATTTCTCCATTAGCATACTCAATGCAAACAACGCATCAGTAGTACTTTTACGTGACATGAAGCCAAACTGCTGGTCACTGATTACTACCTCGTTCCTCAACTTAGCCTCAACAGTTCTTTCTCAAAGCTTAATGCCTTGGCTAACAAGCCTTATACCTCTGTAATAATAATAATTATTGTTATTATTATTATCATTATTATTATTATTATTACTATTATTATGATGATGATGGTGATGATGATGATGAGAATGATAATGACAATGAAAGTGACAATGACGATGATAATGATGATAATAAAAGAATGATGAAAATAATCAAAACAATAATGGCAATTATGAAGATGATGGTAATATTTTTTTATCATAATTATAATAGTAACAATAATGATGATGATGGTGATGGTGATGATGATGATAAGGATGAGGATTATAACAATAATTATAATGATAATGGTAATATTAACAACAGCAACAGTAAGGCAATCATGAAGAGGAGAAAGGTTAAGAAAATAATGTAATATTCATCATGATGATATATTACATAATGATAACGGTAAAGGACACCAAAACAAGAAGACTGGTAAGAATATAGTCAATAATAACAGTAACAAAGGAAAAACAATACCAATTAAAAAACCCTCAAATTACGAAAGCCTTCACCAACGCCCCCCCCCCAAAAAAAAAAAAATCACATATCGCATAGATAAATAGAATCTATCAAGAGAGATCGAAATAAATGGAAGAAAAAGACATTTCTCATTTTCCGGAAGTTGGCGTTGGTGAATAATACTTAAAAGGAATTGTTCGTCTTTGTTAATAAGAAAATGTCCAAACAACTTGAAACATTTCTTACATTCTAAACTAATGGATTTCCTCCTATATGTTCGATAAACCCAGGGAGGAAATATACTGAACACATTTAACAAAAAAGAGTTTTCTCCTTCCCTTGATTTTAAAAATGTATTTGTTTTAATCCATTCGCCCTGGATTTATGCTCTGTCCCCTGTAGTTTTTGGTGAATTTTGTTACATACAGATGGCTCCACATATGCTCAGCCGGCAAGGAGTCAATCAGTAGGCCTTAGTTACCGATCCTGATTTCCCCATTCCTTGAATTGTCAGGAAAATGTGTTTTACTTAATAATTCCGTTGCTATCGATTCTGATAACTGGCTATTTGGTGATTAAGATCTTGTAGAGCCATTTATATGTAAATACAATAAATAAACGTGTATTCAGTGGGTATGGCATGTATTCTTGCCACATAAGGCGAATGGGCTAATAGAAATGCCCTTTTTTTATTCTCCCACAAAATTTCTGAAATACTTAGAGGAAACAAATAGATTAATTTAAATGAATTAATTATATTTAAATACACTTACCTCAATAACTTCTGGATACTTATTTGATGGGCCAACATAAAATGAAACTTGACTAACATTACATGTATATTCAACCTCAGTTCTTATATATAATGCAAGATGAGTCGGTATATGCACGAAGATACATTGACTTTAATCAGGAAAAGATAAATTCAGTAAGAGAAAAGAAATTTGTAGATTTCATATATATTTTCATCTTCTTCCTCGGTTTCTTCTTCTTTTTTAAATTATGATTGTTCTAATATTGTGTTTAAAGGTACGAAAGGGGGAGGGGTTAATTCCTCCCCCCTCTCTCTTCGTCCGTAAATAAATCTCCACCCTTCCTTAAACTTTCAGCCACTGAAAAGGCAGAAGCAAAGGTATATCTTTTCTTTTTTTCTTCGTACAGTTTCTCATAGAAATAAATAATTGTTTACATTTTTGAGATCGTATTTTCTCGGAGAGCCACGACAGGAATCGGAATCGAAATAAAGAGGTCTTCGCAGCCTAATCGTCATCCCTTTCAGTAAAATCAAACTCGTCCCTCCTTCAGTCAAAAATTACGAGCTAAAGAAAGCAAAAAGACGTCCTTCTTCTCACAGGATTCGTTATTCTATTTTATTTTGTCGTTGCTTCTACAATTTTTTTGGGGTGTGAATTCATAAATTAATGGGTCATTTTCTTCTTAATTGGTTTATGTGATCTCCGTCAAGCAAGGATGAAGTGATGGAGAACAGAAATGTCTACTCATAAAATGAAATAAACGAATAAAAGAAAAGAAACCTAATAGTAATTTAAAAGTCGAGAGTAGCAGTATGCCTGACTTTATTAAGATTGTATACTAACAAAGTGTATATAAATAGATTGGTCCACTACACAGTAACGTGTACACTAAGATGAAAAGGAAAACAGGCACAGTAACAAATGAAAATACTTTGTGACATTCAGATTTATGTTCATTTCTTACTGTGGATGTTTTCCTTTTCATATGTAATTGTATTTTTTCTCATTAAACTCAAGACAGTAAATGTAAGGACATTTATAACACTGAAGTGGGCTGGTGCTATATATCTCTTGTCACTGTGCAGCTTGAAGAAGTATAGAAACATTTTTCAGTAATTTTTAACATGGACAGTACTAGTGAGGCAATATTCAGTTAAAGTATACGTTTTTAAACTTTTGCTTTGACCATTTAAGTTAAGTTTGCTACTAGATTGGTGTATGATGTCAACTTTTGACAGTCGGTAGAATAACAATGGAATCTAAGCAACGTGTCATTCTTTTATTGTTTTAATAAGTAATGCTGTTAACTTGTCACGGGATATCTTCCTTGTAAAGGATTTTTAAAAATTACTTACAAATGGAATCAAAAGACAAACCAAAACATACAGAGCTCTAAATGTAATGTGTACATGACAAAATGGAACTATGATTCTAAATAAAATTACAGACAAAACTGAAAGAAATGCATTAGAAAGCATAGTACGTGTGCAGCGCCTCTGCCTCCCCCCGACCTCCCCTAAAATAAGAGATAGCAAAGAAACCCAAAACTTCCTCTCCTCAATTTAACTTCGTCAGGAATTGGCCATGATACGTCTACTCTGCTCTTCAAAATCTCATCGTCCCATCCTGTCTGCGTAATTAAACAACTTTCTACGAATGAGATATATGTAGACATGGTTCCTCTTTCTGTATCATTTCTCAGAATCAAGAAACAGCTAATCGAACGTCCCTTTCTTATACTGAAATCCTTAGGTTGGCCTAATTTATTATGTTTGTTGTCTCCTCACTGTTACCGATGAAATTATCTGTTCTTATCTTATTGAAATACAGTAATATTTTCTATGTGTGGATGTATTTTTGATAGCATTTGTAATACCAATATTGACATATTGTAACATCAGTACAATGGCATTTCTAATAATACTTAATGAGAAAACTTGAAGAAAGGGAGAACTAGATAAAATAGAATCGACAGAAAAATCCGTTTGGACCTGATTCCCAACTCTTGCCTTTTCCCAGTTGAACAAAACTCGGTGTTCAATATTTCGTGTTTCGTGAAACTCGACAGAACTAGCCACACTCATTCCTCAAAATGGCGAGGTCGTCTGTACTCTCTCTATATATATATATTTCACTCTACTTTCATCTCTTTCCTTTTCTCTCTCCCTCTTTCTATCTATCTCTATCTATCTATCTATCCTCCCTGTCTCCTATATCTCTCTCATTCTGTTTCTCTCAACTTCTCATTCCCTCCTTGCCTCCTCTCTCTCTATCTATCTATCTATCAATCTATCCATCTCTCTCTCTCTCTCTCTCTCTCTCTCTCTCTCTCTCTCTCTCTCTCTCTCTCTCTCTCTCTCTCTCTCTCTCTCTCTCTCTCTCTCTCTCTCTCTCCCTTTCTCTCTCTCTCTCTCTCTCTCTCTCTCCATCTCCCTATCTCTCCTTCTCTCTCATTCTCATTCTCTCTTCCAAATATCAAGCTTCAGAAATGAATGGCTTCAGAGTTGGATACGATTTCAGGTAGTCGGGAAGGGAATCTCGTTAAAACAGTATTGACTTCTACTGTCAGTGAATTCAGGGTCGGTTGATACAGGACGATATTCCTGACTCCACGAAGTTTAAGATATAAATGCTTTTATGCAAGCAGAAAGGCGATACAAGTGTTCACACAAAGAATGACATGACGTAGGTATGGATCTATGGTCAATACGTACGTACAGTGTGGTATAGTCACATACTCATCCATAGATTGATGCTACATACTTAATATATATTAACACTATCTCTTCTCGTACAGACAGACACTACGTACACACATAACGATACTATATACGCGCTAAACGATACAGCAAACTTGCACGTGATATGCGCCTGTTTATCTCAGTGTTAGTGCCTAGTCATATACAGTAGCTGGCCGTAACGATAAAAGCGCTCTTTCTTTTTCTCTCTCTCTCTCTCTCTCTCTCTCTCTCTCTTTCTCTCTCTCTTTCTCTTTATCTATCTATCTATTTATCTATCTAACGATCTATCTATCTACCTATCTGTCTATCTATCTATATATCAACCTATCTTTATCTATCTATACATCTATTATTTTTCGTTCTCACCCTTTATATATTTATCTATGTCCATTTTCCTCTCACTCTCTCAGTTATCAAGATATAGTTAAAAGACTTCACAGCTGCGCGTGACATGTATACAAAGAAACAAACACATTGATTAAATCGCCCATTCATTTAGCAAATCAGCCTTCCGTCCCATCTACCTGCCTAACGGAGCCTTGCTAGCTTTTTAATTCAGCATGTG